ACGCAGAGAAATTTGCATTAGGAGCTTGGTCGTTTCTGTTAATAGCCTGGAAACGTCTGCGCAGCGTCTCAGTATAAACAGGGCCTCTGTGTCTGAGGGGGGGGGGCCGTGGAGCACTGACAGAGGTGTGAACGACTGGGCTATTGTCCACTGCTGAGGCGGCTAGGACATGCGGCTGAGCTGGGGGAGGCGTGGGTCTCTGATCAAACCGCAGGAAAAATTGTTTTAGATCATTAACCCACTGGGGGTCCCCCCAAAGGCTGGACAGGGGGTGTTTTGAAGCCCGTGATGGTCTTCAGGCTCCTCCAAACCCCTCCAAATAAGTAAGTCATCTTTATCAATATAGAATTTTTTACAGACCAAGGTCCTCCAAAGTGCTTTGTAATGGTCAGAGTTCAGATATTGTTTCATTCTCTCCACACAGTGATGACGGAAGCATCATGGAGACATCCACATGGAGACATCCACATGGAGACATCCACATGAAGACATCCACATGGAGACATCCACATGGAGACACACGTCAATCAATCAAATTTTATTTATAAAGCGCTTTTCATACATAAGATCATTTTGCGTACTTCTTCATTTCTCCATGGGGGTGCAGATTTTGTTTTTATGATTTTTGTTTTTAAAGGAGCCACCTGATCCAACGCAGAACTAAGTCTACTGTTAAAATCATTTGCTATAAAATCACAGGGGGCAGGTAAAACCAAGTGGGGAGTGTTGTTTAGGATGTCGATAAAATTTGCAGCCACTTCAGGGGTTAGATGTCGCTTCCTCACGGTTCTCACAGAGGTCTCACGCTGTATAAAACCAGTGATGTTAAAAAACACACAGTAGTGGTCCGAGACAGCCAAGTCGACAACAGAGGACACATCCGCAGTCAGGCCATAGGTAATGACCAGGTCAAGGGTGCGTCCCCTGTTGTGTGTTGGCTGTCTGACGTGTTGGGTAAAATCCATGTAATTAAGAACATCTAAGAAATCTAGGGTAAAATTGTCAGAGGGATTGTCAATGTGTATGTTAAAATCAACCGGTTAAAATTATCATATTGTAAGAATTGTGTAACTGTGATAAAAACGCTGAGAATTCAATAATAAAAAGGCTGCACTTTTTAGGTGGCCTATAAATAATTACTGTTAAAATTTTGGGGTTGCTAAAAACAAGAGAGTGATACTCAAAACTTGAGTATTGGTTAAAAACAATAGGTTTGGTGGCCAGGGTGTTACTGCATATTGAGGCTGTGCCGCCACCTCTCTTTCCTTCTCTTGTTTTAAAAGCAAAGTTAAAATTGGGGGGGGAGGCCTCTGTAAGAACAGCCGGAGCATCCGGACCCAGCCAGGTCTCAGTTAAAAACATACCATCCAGCTCGTGTTCTAAAATCAAATCATTAACAGTAAAAGTCTTATTTAAAAGGGAGCGTACATTTAAAAGGGCAAACCTGATGGTAGATGGGTTGTTATTGTTGATGGGGAGTCCATAGTTCGAAGTGGGGGGAGCAGAGGATGAGAGAGGGGCAGGGGGAAATAGTGATGAGGTTGGTGAAGGACGGTTTCCTGGGTATGGACGGTCTGTAGGGGCGGGGTCTGGACAAAACTGTAATTTTGTGCTGGGGAAGAGAGCAGGGGTTGATGCTGGGGCACAGACGGGCAGGAGGGATGTGGGATGTGGGGGTGGGTTGTCAGAGGTATGTAGGATGGGATTGGACTGCGTGGGTGATGTTGGAGATCAGGTACCGGTTGCCAAGTGGGTTGATGTGAAGTCCGTCGGGTGTGAAGAAGGGGTAGCGGTTCCAGAACAGATTAAAATTGTCTATAAAACCAAAGTTGTGATGGAGTGATGTTTGATTGAGCCAGGTGTTGAGTGATAAAATCCTGCTAAAACGCTCCCTGCCGCGGTTCATAGTGGGCAGAGGACCGGAGATAAAAACAGTTTTCCCTGAGTTTGATAAAAGGTTAAAAAGATCCTTAAAATGGCGTTTTGTGGTCTCGGATTGGCGGAGTGAAGCGTCATTTGTGCCGACATGAATTATGATCCGGGTTATTGTGGAGGGTGCTGTCTGAATAAGTGAGGGTAGTTTAATGAGGATGGTGGGGACTGTGGCTCCAGAAAAACAGTGTGTGATGGCATTAAAAAACTTGCAGTGTCTGATAATAGAATCCCCCACCAGGAGCGTGGTTGGTGCAAACAGAGGCCGCGGAGGGGAGGGTGTGACTGGGGTGGGACCTGGTGGAGAGCAGGGGACAGGAGAGCCTTGGGGGGTGCCCGGAGCGGAGCCGCCACGAGCGGCTGTGGAGCAGGGTGGAGGATCCGGAGACCGAACTGACTCCACTGTGGCCGGGTTGGTGGTGGTGGTAGTGTGGGCGAATGTGGGAGGGCCGCGCACCGGGCGGGGGGATCCACCAGGAGGCGAGGTGGCATCTGCGGGGGAACTCCTCGCCGTGCAACAGCGCAGAGACCCCCCCGCGAGTGAGGCAGCGTCCACGGGAAGAGTCCGCGCCGTAATGGAGCGCAGACACCCCCCCGCGGGCGAGGCAGCGTCCACGGGAGGACTCTGCGCCGTGATGTAGCGCAGAGATCCCCCCGCGGCCACCTCAGCATAGGACCTGCTCTGTGCAGCGCCTCTGGGGATTCCCTCCGCGTCAGAGCACACGGACCCTCCCACAGCAGGGACAGCGCTCCCGGAGGTATCCTGCGCCACGTTAGGGCACAGAGATCCCCCCGGGGCTTCCCGCAGTTGGTCCTGCGTGACATCCGGGGAGCCCCGCGCTGTTTTAGAGCGTGGGAAGCTCCCCGAGCGTCTGCGCACAGCCTCCTCCACCAACCTGCGACGTGAGGACACTGTGGACGTTCTGTGGTCTCCAGGCTTCTGCTCCGCGCCGCTCTGGGTATGGGCAGCAGGCTCCGGGACCGTAGAGGAGGGACGAGCACCGGGAGGGACAGGAGGAACAGCCGCAACCGGGGAACGTGAGGTGAGGACCGGGGTAGAGCATGATGAGGGGTGAGGACAGGTGATGGGATCCCAAAGAGCAGTGTCGTGGAGTGTGGTAGCGAGCTGTGAATGTCTAAGTACGGAGAGGGATATTTGCTGTGACTGCTTGAATGAGATGTCCATGAAATGTTCCAGAAGTTTCTCTTTATGTATGAGTTCTGTGGATAGTTGTGTAACACTGCGTTGAAGTTCCTCGGGGGTCATTGCGTTTACTGGTTTGGATGGAAGAATTGAAGCAAGTTGTGATTTGTAGATTTGTCTGTATGAGTTCTCGGGGGGAGCGGCGGTGTCCATGGTGGCGTATGTGGGCAGGCTGGTTACCGCGGTAACTGTTAAAAGGCTGATATACAGTCCAGTTAAAAGTGACAGTAATCCTGTTGTGGCACAACCTGTTAAAATCTGCTTAATCCATCAGTTGTTACGAATGGCCCCATATTGCACATGCTGACATTTTTTCATTATTGCACAGATGCACACCGCTCCCAGAGGCTGTCAGTCCTGCATCAATCCTTGTTCTACAGCCTGAGTCCTGGATCAACTATTTTTTTCCCACTGTTTTTAGGTTTTAAGTGGTTCCTCGTTGATGCAGAAGGGTCCAAGGACATATGCAGCATAAACATTTTGAGACATTGGTCGTTATGTGATTGTTTTTCATTACATTTCCTGTTTTTGAACTGTATGATTCTCTGATCTGTCGTTGGCAAATCCACAGCGCTGTAAAGTCCTCCGAGACGACTGCTGCTGTGATTTAGGGCTGTACACAAATACATAGAATCGAGGTCAGGTCAGCAGCGTTCATCAGTCGTCATTGTTCACTGTACAGTCTGACAGCAGTAAGTTAAACTCAACACAAACCGCTCTCAGCTGTCAGTGAGTCTATGACGGCAGGAAGATCCACCGGCACAAGCTCCAACAAGATAAATGTCTGAGATTCTCATTGAAGACACTGCCCTTTAAACACGACACAGAAGGACGCTCACCGTTTTACTTAAGGTCACGCCGAGCTAAATATAGAAAAACAAAGAACTTGTCAATCCAAAAGTTCAGGTATGTTTGAAAGTTGATGAGAGATTGATGTCTATTAACAAAAATCCATTGATGTACTTTTTTTTTTTGCAGATTGACAGATTTTAGATTAGAAAAGAGGTGATTTCTGTAACTTCTTGTATTTCATATTTATAGAATTAAATATGACCTTCCAATATCATTTGAATAAAGTATTTTTCATGAGACATATTATTGAAGATGCCCCTCCCCTTAGCGTTACCATCACTAGTAAGTATTAGCTGGAGGAGAATACTTTGAGGTCAACCCTGTGGAATAAAAAAAAAATAAATGTGTTAACTTTTCAGATTTTGGTGACAATGATTGCGCTTTATTGTGTTGTAATTTGTGTTATGGTTACACAAATCAATGTACTTTATGTTTACTTATATTGTTTGGATAAAAGATAAATCAATAGAAACTTAAATGATGAATAAAAATGTCGAACTGGATCAGGTCCAAGCCACGTCTCTGTAAATGGTAATGAGAGTCTAAAGTTAGTCTGGCCAGGGGCGAGTTTCTGATGCACCACCTGAGATCAGCCCCTCCCCTCCTGAAGCCGGGAGCCGTTTGGAACGAAGACCTGCATATTTGTGACGGCTCTAAACTTAGCACTGGAACTAGACTTTTACTAGAAAAAGAGGGAAAGTAAAAATGTATTTGTATAGCACATGCCATACACAAAATGCAACTTTAGTGAAAAAAGACAATGTGATAAGACATTGAACAGTTTCTCCCTCCGTCTGGGTGGGTTGCCTCCAGGCGCTCCGGTTTCCCCCACCAGAAAATGGTAAAATCCCCCAGCTCTAGAGCATCAACAACTAAAGGTAGATCCCCAGGCGCTGAACCACTGCTGCTGACAAATCTGCGGAATTAATCTGGCATCATCTACAAAAGCAAACATAAATGTCAGATCCAGCCCGACACAATCCAAAATGTTTTTAAATAGCTCATTGCAGACATGAGGAAGTCCGAGGTAGAGTTAGACAGGTAAGGTCCGATGATTTAAGACTGTAACAGGGTCCTAAGGTACCAGTCAATCAGGTTTTGACCTGTTTTAGACTAACAATCCCTGGTTTTAAATCTGGTTAAAACTTTGATTTCAACCTAGTTTAGGCCTGATCGAGCTTAACGCTTGTGCATTACATCTGTATTCCACTGGCGTCACATTTCCACCGGTGCTGCCATTCCGATCTCCCTTGGTCCTCAGTCATTCCCAGCGCCGCCTCATCGCCATGCAGCCGACCACTCCACCAATTACCGCCACGCAAAGTCACTTTCACAACCCGCTGGGCTCCGCCTGCAGCCGGGAGAGGGGATATTTCACTACAGGAGGTGTCCGTCCAGAAACAAGGGGCTCCAGAGTGACCTGGAGACACCGGGGCGACGCTGGGACTGAGCAGCTCTGTCCCGGCCTCTATACATCCATATGAGTGCGTGTTTCTCTTTGTCACTCTAAAGCCCTGTTTCCACCATCCCGACGAGATATATACATAGATACTGTAATTATCCATAAGTAAATTGAGAAGAAGTGAAGAAGTTTAAATCTATAATTAAAAATATTAGTAATTAATAAAACAAAAAACACCACATCAAAAAGGACACTATGTAAAACTTTTGCACTTCTTTAATTTTATACATTTATTGATGATAGAGTTAGGGATTAAAAAAATAAATAAATAGTATAGCTACAGTTCACTTAACTTGTGCCGTGTGCTCCTCTTTCCTACAGTTTTATAAATTGTGATGCGACACTGAAATGTCCCCACTCTGTGCGAATAAAGACCTCTTAATCTTAATCTTAATCTTAAAAAATACATAGTGCCCTTGGTCCATAATGAGCAGAGACTAATGTCCTTAAACATTTATAAATGTCCATAAATGTTGTTGAATGTCGAGTGTCCAGGATCATCATCACTGTCCTTAGACAAAAGACAGGAATTGTGCAAACCTGTTAAAACAGTGAAAATCCAGTCTCTTTCACCCAAGATACATTAAGTACAGTTCAAATTAAAGTGGCTCTAGCAGTTGCTTTACCGACTGCGAGTGAGTTACATCAATGAAGCCAATTCACATCCTATTTGATAAGCGGCGACCAGCAGCCTCGGCTACGTCCACTTTGCATCTTATTCGGGTAAATGCAATCATAACTATCGCATGAAAATCTCTCATGCAAGAATAAAGGCAGCATTAGAGTCACTGATACTCAACAGGTAATGCCTCATCTGTATGCAACAATTCTCACGGTACATTCTTATGGCTTTCTGCTTTCTCTTAAGGATTTCTGTCGTTGTGTCCGACGCCGAATCCACCTCCGGCTTCTCATGAGCTTTCCTTTGAATCTAACTGCCATAACATTCGCATTAACGTCCCAAAGAACCATACTTTTCTTCATTATCCTGATGACAGCGGAGTGGTGGCCTCCTGGAAGAGCTCCTGCCGATAATGCATTCGTAATGAGCCATACAGTATGTTCGCCGCCGCTTTGGACTCTCTCTGGAGGATTTTTGCTTCCAGAGGTTCTCAAGTCTGCCCATGTGGGCCCAGATCAGTGAAATTACAATATATATACTGTACACACTGCACAAAATGATAACATATGAGGTAATAAATGCTTGAATTGACTGTTTTTTGCCTTAACCTGACACATTCTCACTGTTAAAACAATATTCTCTGATGGGACAAAGCCATTTAGTCTTATTTACAGAACTGATGCTTTTCTCTCCTCATTCCAAAACAGACATTTCTTGTATCTTTTTAAAACAAGGTAATTGTTCTTTGTCCCATTGGCAAATCAGTCAGAGTGTGCTCAAATGAAGATACCATTTGCCAAATTTGAGCAATTTTGACTTATTTCTCATCACTTTTTGCAGTGCTCACATTTCAAGCAGAATCATAATCAAAGAATCAAGGTGGACTGGAGGTTTTGCAAATCTGATCTGAAATTGGGTAGTGGACGTCATATGTAAAACCAATGCAGTGACTGTCCCATTGACAGATCTTATTTTAGTTTTATTAAGATTAAAACCACTGCATTCAAGCAATTATTATCTCATATTTTATCATTTTGTGCGGTGTGTGTAGAGGTAAAATACATTGTAAGCCCAAAGCCCACGCAACAGAACCTATGGCATTGAGTAACAAACTCGGAACAAACAAAAGCGAGATATTCACAATCCAGATGCTAAGAAAGTGACGCCTTAGAACTGTCTTCTGGCTTGCAGTGGGTAGTGAAGATAAATGTGTGTTTAGTTTTGTGAACACAACTCTCCAGTGCGCGCACACACACAAACACACACACAGTTAATCCAACATTATCGTCCACTCAGAACAAGTGATTAAGGAGATGTAGGTCCGAGGCCAGACTCTCGGATGACTATTGATTTCTGATTTTTCTTTGTCAAATTGCTTCGATCTGGAGTTGAGCCCAGAGAAACTCTGCAGCCCACGCTGGGGATTGAAAATACACTTGTTCGACCTCTGACACGCAGTCCGCCTGCTCTGTGGGACGTCAGCCAACAGTGCAGTGCTGTGTCGAGAGTGTTGCTAAACCAGAGATTGCAGAAAATGGTCAGATGCCAGAAGTGCTGGTGATCAGTTGGATATTCCATCAGCAAATCCATGGAGTCCATTGGCAAGACACTTCAGCTGTGTTGAATTTGAAGACCCATTCACAAACTCAGCTGTATGCAAAGATTTGCAAGAATGTATCTTAAACAATGTCAATGTGAAAAAATTGAATTTGTTTTGTTCGCTGTGTGGGCGTTTCAGTGGGTAATGGCAAATACATGTGTCAAAAGGCTGTAGTGACACACACGTTCAAGCTTTTCACATGTTTGACTGTATAAATTAGTGAGATACGAATATTAAATTCAGTTAATTTTTGTGTCGCCCCCTTATTCGTCTCTCAGGACTCTAGATAGTTGTATGGTTTGCGAAAAACAGATTGGAGAATCAAACAGTCCAAACACAAGACATGCAATAAAAATGTGAATAAATGTTATGAAACTGCAGAGACACAAAACCATGACCTCCATACAGTGTGTATCACCATCACCAACCATTCACACACACACCATGTTATAATGACTGGCGAGTCAAAAGTGCAGACAATAATCACAAGGTTTGATACAAAAAGTGCTAAAAGGTATAGCTATAGTGGCAGCGCTGGAGGCTTAAGCAGGGCAAAAACAGGAGCGATACAAAACCATCAACGAGGATATCTTATTATTAATACATCAAAAGGCCAAGAAGTAATACCGTGTAAGTTTGACTGACGATCTGGCACCTGGTGAAGGGTGAACCAGGCTTTAAACTGTAGAGGTGAGGCTGATGAGGATGATAGGCTGCAGGTGTAAGAGGGCTGAACCAGGGGCAGGACCAGGCCTGCAGACACTCCGCCCAGCTCCAGGAACGCAGAGGGGAGGGGAGAGGGCACACACCAACACAACCATGACAACCTAGCCTGGTCTTACCACACCATAGTACAAATGACATTTCATAATAAGGTCTGGATTTGCTCCATTGAGCTCCGTGAGAAGGTGGGAGGGGTTAACTGCTTTTGCAGATTGAAACGATTCGATCTGAGTTTATCGTGACGTATGTAGTGCGCCCGAGTCTGTTGTTTGCATTTAGCATTTAGCCTAACCATCTTCTTTGCCGCTAACGGAGCCTGTGGGGAGTAGCGCCATATTTTTGTGCTAAACATTACCCTTGCTCCGGCTTCAATTTCTTGATAGAACCAGACCGGATGACTTTACTATCGCATTTTTTGCCATTGCCAAACTACAACCTGCCCGTTCGACGCAAACTCTTGACATCACCCACAACTAACACATGCCTCCCGCGCTCTCTGAGTGATCGGTCGAAATTCAGCCGATTGTAATCGCTAAGACGGGGACCAGGCCCAGACGTTACATACAGTGAAATGATGTTTGAACGGATTGTACGGATGGATAAGGCCAGGCTACTGACAACCAGACTCTTTCTAAGTATTGTAGGCGAAGTGTCTGGCCCTCTGGAAGTACCTATAGGACCAGGTCCAAATACTAGAGTGATCGGTCCTTCTCAGTCCGGGTCCAGAACAAGCTGCTCCTTTATTAGCGTGCCCTCACTGATTTTGGCTTTTTTAAATCAATGCTCACAACTCATTTATTCAGACTGGATTTTAACACATTTAACACTCATTAGTGCGGTGACATTTTTTCAATGCTTTGTCAATGCTTTTTTAATGCTTTTTAACTGTTTGATTTTTCGCGTGCAGGAACCTTTTAATGGATTTTATGTGATTTTATTGGAAGCACTTGAGCGTTGTAAAGGGTTCTATATATAAAGCTTGATTGATTGATGAGGATAAAACAGCAATTGGGCACTGGTGTTCCCAGAGGTCTCCCTTCACAGCACACTCCAAGCCCTGCCCTGCTTAGTTTGTCACATCTGAAAAGAGAAAAGACTGTCACGTGGTAAGTGTTAAGTTGTTTTTTTCATGTCATTTGTTGCTTAACAGCCAGAGAACCTCAGGTCTGTCTGATGAGGAAATAGTTGTATTAAAGCTTTTGATGTAAACCGTGTCTTTAACCTTGTGTTCAAACCTCTTGTCACGATCCTGTCCTTGCTCCACAAAGCAGCGCTGACAAGGGGCAATCTTCCGACATTCCTCTCCCTGCGCAAACACTTCAACGTCTCCGCGAGTCATTTTCCGAGCCGCGAGCATTATTCAGGGCGACAGTGGGCATTGGCTGAATACCATCGATGAATCATTCATGTGGCTCAAATGATATCCGCAAACGACCGCCGAGTTTTCATGACTAATCTATACCCCGCCGTCCTGAAAGTGGTCAATGAGGCAAGAGCCCGTAATGAAGGTCTGACGGAGGCAAAGGACAAATGGCTGCTCCAGAGTATTTGTCTAACTCTGTCTGTGGAGAGATGGATGAGAGCACACAATACACATTACACATGAAACTGCATTAACACTAGATGTCCCAGAGCGGAGTCCTGGGTCTACAGCCCGTCTGTCTTTGTGGAGAGGACTTGTCTCAATGTGGGCCTTCAAGGTTTCTCATTTCTCACACTGGGTTTTGTGAGTGGTTCATTGCAGATGCAGGAGGGTCCAAGAACAGCGATGATCCAGGACAATTATGGACATTGGTCATCTGCCCCTTATGGACCAATATTTCCTCTGTTTGAACCATAGACTGTAATTATTAATGGACATAGTGACGCCTAACTCCGTCATTGAAATTTTGTTGCCATCACTTTTCCCTCCTGCCAACTCTTTTCAAAATGGCCACATGCATTAGCTGCTCAAGCCCCATTCATTCACCGTGTGCATTCCAAAGTCCACTGCGGCAAAACTAGACTGGTCCAAAACAATACTCCCCTCAGCATTGACAGCATCTGGAACATAGCATTGAGCCAAGCAATCCAAGAT